TTCAGCTCTGGAAAGACCACTCTTAAATGCTGCTATGGTTGGCGATTTTCTAAGCGTAATGTCTAAGGAGTTCCATACATCTGCAGCAAAATTTAGAGTGGTCCAATGTCCCCATCTTCTATGAGTCGATGATTCCCGAATATTATGCTTAGACCTAGTATTATAAAATTATTATGAAAATTGTTATTGAACAAACAATGAAACAGGTGCATCAAGAGATTATTAATGGACTTGCAAGCGAAAATTAAGTGCAGTTTTCTGCCCTTTACCATTGCAAAGGCTTCCAATTTAGCATCACAAGCAAGATATTACAAATGGTGTATTACAATTATCTAGCTTAGCAAGATATTACAAAATGAAAATGAACTGTAGTATGCTATAATTTTCCTACCCCAGAAACGGACCATTTGTAATGGCTTAGTGTCCACTAGCTGCTTTAATGCAAGAAATACTCTAAACATTTCTTCACGGCTCAGTCCAATTCCAGCTTGTTCAAAGTAAAAAGTTAAATTCATGAGATCAGGAAGAGGAGTCTCAACATCTTCCTCTGTCTCAGGTTCGCCTCCTTCACCATCACCGTCTTTCTAGATAAGTAACAAATTAAAATAACAAAATAGAATTGGCTTATAATGAAAATCAAAACTGGGCCGTTAAGGTGATTCCTCAGAATCGCATTGCACATCCCTACTGCGCACGATTTTGCATCATTAGTGTGCGCTCATGAGCGCGTGCACATATACAAAATGGTGGCTTTTTCTAAACAGCTTGGCCTGTGAGAGACAAATCATTGTTTTTTTCTCAGAAACAAATAGCGGGACCTACAAATATTTTATTTAGTTTAAATGCAGAGATCACCTTCTTTCTATACAGTGAATATGGACCAATTTCTATTGCAGAGTAAAAAATTATCATGGAAAATGAGAGCTTAGTTAGCCCTCGTATAAGATAGTATGTGGCCCCAGAACACTGTGTGGTTGGAACATATTGTATCCCTGTCTTCTAAATATGAGTTCCTTTATCATGAAACATACATTAATGCAATACATCCATTGTTGCATTTCTGTCTTAACTTTCTCCCTATATTTCTGCTCTCTTAAAGGGTAAGGTGAATGGTTCAGATATAAACTTTTCTGAAAGCAGATAATTTAAGGAAATATGGGGTTTATTGAAGGTCCTCCTGCTCCTAACTGAATACCAGGACCCCTTTTTTTACTTCAAATTTTAAGTTCTCTTGAAATAAGCAGCCAACAGGTAAAGTTTGAAAGAAAATCTATTGTGAGTTTGACTTTGATGGAATTACCTTTAGTTCTACTTATAAGTAAAGACTGTCTACTGTTCTTAGCTTGACACTTGCCATATTTTTTTGTTTTGTTTTCTTTTTAGTTTGTTTGTTTTTTTATTTAAAGTAAGACACCTTTAACAA